TTGCCAACATCATACATGACTCCTATATCTCCAGTGCGAAACCAACCGGTTGGTGATTTTACTTGCTTTTTTTATTTCAGGATAGCCCAGCAAGTACCCCAAAAATACTCTAGAGCTTCTAGCGCAGATTTCACCTGCAATTCCCCTGGGTAATAATTTCTCTTCGTTGTCAACAACTTTAACGTCTGTACCAGGAAGAGACTGACGGTTTGTCAAATTGGTATTCAAATAGACAGTCCTTATTAATTATGTGTTCTACAATCCAAGGCAACACCCATATATAAGCAAAACTCAGGCTGAACCGCTGACCTGTCAAAATAAGTACCTTGATATGGCTAAGGTTGTTTTTTAAGTACGACTTTTCATCATATAGAACATGGATTAAGAAAACAGTAAGTGCACTTGTCTCTCTCCCAGATCTGAAAGACAGCGCTGCTCTTTGTCTTGGATAGAGCGATTTCAGTTGGAAGCCATACTGGTGTTTTCTTTGAGCATACTCCAGCCTGACAGTTAAAATAGCCACTAACMCAGGAAAACGGCCAATCAATATACCGTGTTTCATTTTCATAAAATGGTCGATCAACATAGAAGTTTATGACTGAATGCATTGTACTTTGCCTACTTTTGGATTTCCTGTGCTTCCTGAAGTGAACATGGCAGTCACAGGATCATCAACTTCCTTTTGAGCGTCTTTTAGCTTCTCCAGATTTTTGGACTGACCACGCGAAAGAAGGTTGTTGTAGAAATAGCACTCGTTGTTGCCTAGGAACTCATGGAAACCAGAATCTGCTTGTCCATGTTTTGATCTGCATTGTGTTGAGTTAGTTGTTCGATTCCTTCAAACAGCTGTTTTTTCTGAGATTCTTTCATTRTTGGATYGTAAACTATCATTTTGCRGTTGATGGTCTTGAGCAAGTCTACTTTGTCTCGTGTAAGACTTCCAGCTCTCAGCAAAATGGAGCTACATCCAATGCGGTACAGAGCCATGGAAACTATAATATATTGTAGACTAGTCTGTCCTATCAGAAGTACTCGCTGACCACGTGATACGCCAAGATCGAGAAGAGATGCAGCCAAATGCATGGACCTGTTCAAAATGATTTGAAATGTTTCAATATGTATTTCATGTATAGCAGACTTCAGTAATTTCGAACGGGACGTCCTGCAATAAATCTCTTTACTGTAACAGTTTGCTTCTAAATACTCGGAAAATCTCACTTAAATGTTCTAATTGATGGAAAGTTTATTGGCGTTTCTTATTAATAAACAGCTAACTAGGTTCACTCTAGTTCTAGCGTTCTGCCAATCTATCTTTTTATATGGTATACATATAGATAAATGGTAAAACATGTAAGCACGTCTTTAGTAATTGTTCAATACTACTTGCGCTTTGGCCTAACAGATCAATTTTAATTCAAAATGTTAAAAATTTACA